ATCAAAGCATGGGAGATGCTTTCTGTTCATATTGGTTATTGGTTCTGTAGTATAACTCTCTAAACAATAAGGTTTAGTAAAAATTGTGGAGAGTTATGCTGCAGAAATTTATATAATGTGTTGTGAGGTTGTGATGGGTAATCTTCTAGGAGAGAAGTTATGCCGTCAGATCTCTTGTGTGTTTATATGCAGGTTTGCATTGTTGTGAGGTTGTGTGGGTAACCTTCGGGGAAGGTTAGGCCGCCAGATCTCTTTTGTGTGTGAGGTTGTGTTGGGTAACCTTCGGGGAAGGATATGCCAACAGATCTCTTTTCTGTGTAAGATTGTGATGGGTGACCTTCGGGGAAGGTTATGCCGTCAGATCTTGTTAGTGTAGATGCATATCTATACATTAGGTGATGTGAGATTGTGGATGGCTATGCCGCCAAATCTCATAGATGCATCGGTTGTGGGGTTATAGCATGGCTATGCCGCTAAACCTCGAGTGCATACTAACATGGTGGTGCGTGAGGCCCATATGTTGAGTATGACTCCGATGTGGAAAGATCACGGACGGCTGAGCCGCCAGATCTTTCAAGGTTCTTGTGGGTACTCTTCCGAGGCAAGGGAAGCTCTGCCGCAGAACCGGTGGTATGAGGCATAGTGGTGCGTAAAGGCCCATATGCTAAGTACTGAGAACATGTGGCGTGTCTAACCACATGTTGTCTAGGAAGGTGTAGTCAAGCGCATTCTCGCACGTCAGAGCCCAACCGGATTGGCAGCGAGGAGGCTGTGCATGAAGGGAGGAAGACTCGGAGGATAACCTGGTCAGCTGCCTTGGCCGAGTATGGTACCATATGACGATATGGGATCCAACCAGACATTGGCATGGTGCGCCAGTAAGGCCAATAGATGGAAGGATGAACCGGGTACCGCGATGGACTGTAGTGCCCGGGTGAAGGCGTTCATCTAGTTTCTGTGTGATTCCGGATGAGCGTGAACCTTCACAGGCGTGGGCAGAGAATGTGGCTAATGCACCTAGGCGCCTTATTGCATATAGAAAACAAGTATTAGATACTTGTCTAGGTTTGCATGGGCATTGCATATAGATTGTTTGATTGTTGTTATAGTCTTGGGTTGATCGTACCTGTTCTTGTTTGATTGGGGTACGGTTAGTCTTAAGACTATAGCATCAATATGCATGTGATTGCATATGTTGTGTTGTGCTAACCTCATTGCAGGTGGAAGGCGGGGATTACAAGCCCGCGGCGTTTGGAGTTTAGGGAATCCCCCTTGTATAGAGGTCCTAGACTCACTGAGTAATATTAGATTACTCATTCCTTTTGTTTAATGTTTTCAGGTGACCGTAGAGGTGTGAAGTAGAGCGGACCGCTGCAGGCAGTAGGCGCCAGAATAGTTTTGTGGTATGTTTTTGTAAAATTATGGTTTGTTGTTTGGTTTGGAACTAAGGATCGATCCGCATGTTTTTAAGTCGGATTTTGTAAGCACTCTGATATTTTAATAAAGGAAAGTTTTATGTAAAGACCTTATGTTCCAATGATATTAGCTTGGTCCGGGCTAACACAACTCCTGACCGAAGTACGGGTTGGCAAGCCTTAGGCTTTGGTCAAGAGGGTCGAGTTCGTGGAACGGGCTGACCTGGGCTCTGATTTGTTCTTAGTCTGGGATGGCCTTGATGAAAGGTTTTTTGTGTGTGTAAGATGTGAAAAGATATGAAATGAGATGAGTGGAATGCAATCAGTGGTATATGATGGTGGTAAGATGCAAACACAAACACAGTCAACAATTCCCTTTAACCATGATAGTTGTAGTACAAAGGGTTATCAATCCAAAATGGGAAACTTGTCACTCTATGAGAATATGAAACAACCAGAAAGTCAAGCAAGCAGTTATAGATTTGAAGTAACACTAACAACCTAAAAATGAAAATGCAGTGCAATAAAAGTAAACAAAGCAGTGAAGTCAGCTCGACCAAGAGCTCGAGTCGAGTGGCAGAGTACCAGCTCGATCGAGTTTAGGGACGAGTTGAGAAAAAAAGCTAAAGGTGACGACTTTAACAAGATAAAGAGAGAATTAGGGTTCAAGACAGGGTTTTGCAATCAAAGGAATCTACACTTAATCAATCTAGCTCTTAAAACTCCTTGTATCAAGGCTTCTCTTGATATTGGGCTTCTCAATGCCTAGCCAACCCTTTCCCAAGGTGGAGGCTATCAACCAAGGAATGATCTCAGAAACAGGGGGTTAGCCAGTGAGAATCAAACCTTGGAGGCTATAGGATCATTGCCCAAACTAATCCATCCAACCCCTTAGACCTCTATTGTCTAGAGCAAGAGATATTGGAGCTCTTAGTGGATCTTTTCCAGCGAATGCCATCACTTTCGTGTGGGGAGTCGCCTAAGGACTTACAAGCCAGGGGTAGTGGTCATGTAGCCTTAAGATCTATCCAAAAGAGAGAGAATCTAGATTAAGACCATAAGCTAGAAGGATTAAGCATATGAAACCTCTAATCTATCCCATCTCAAACCCTAATGGGTAACTACTCACTACACATGAATGTAAACACAAGCAAATGCAATAAAAGAGACATCATAAGAAAGAGGAGATGAAATTAAACAACTTTTATTGAAATAAGCAAGTGCAAATACAAAGAAGATTAATCCAGGATCTAAGATTCAAGAAGCAAGAGCTTCAAGAACACAAAGATGGGATTAGTTCTAAAAAGTAAAGACAATAAATTAAAGAAAGCTAAAACAAAATAATCTAAAGCTTGGTGGTTTTTTCGTGGCTTAGAGCCTTTAAATACAAGAGGATTAGGTTTAGGGTCAAAGGAAAGTCAAGGGGGAAGCAACATTTTTCGGGTTTGACTTTGACTTCCAGCTCGATCGAGTTGAAGCTTGGCCGGTCGAGTTGAGGAACTCGACCGGTTGGTCGAGTAGACGGTCGAGCTGGTCTTCAAGATGGCTTCTCCCTTCTTCCTTTGCGTGTCCAGTTGAGCTGCTTCCATGTGCCAAGTCCCTCCATGCTCCTCATGTCCCATATGCTCCAGAATGCTCCAAAAGACCTATTTCAAAGGACCAAACATGCATATGTATGCAAATGCAACCTAAAACTAACATGAATGCATAAGAAGAGAAAAGGAACAAGATATGATGCAAATGGAAGCTAAAACTATGCAAAAGATGCATAAAAGATGTGCTAAAACTATGTAAAATGCAAGTACATCAACACCCCCAAACTTGAACTTTGCTTGCCCTCAAGCAAACAAATAGAACAAGAAAGAGATGAGGTTTGAAAATAGCTGATTCAACACTTAAAAACATGTCCTCAAAAGCGATTTGCTAAATGTCCAACTTAGAGATTCTAGAATGCAACAAGGTGAGAGATATTCATTAAGATTTAACCATGCTTATCAACATCAATCCCACTTCACAGTCACTCAAACAATGCATTCAAATCAGCAAATCCCTTTAACATTCATTAAGCAAAAACAGTGAACCAAAAACATGCAAGATCAATCAACTCATTTGGTTTCAAGGGTTTATGGGTTAAGAGACAAAGAGGGTCTCTTTTGTATGGTGGTTTAGTAACAGGGATCTCTCAAGAAAGTGGCTTTGCTTTGGCAGAAGGCTAAGTGTTAGAACCAAAGATGATGCAAGAACAGCAGCTCGAGCCGCCTAATCCTAACTCGATCGAGTTCAACACTTAGAGCTTTTTAGAACAAAATCCTAACTACCCTTTTTGGCATTTCGCCTTTGAAACTGAGGAGCTTTGCTCACTTTTCTTTTAAGAACTTCCTAGGGAGAGGCTTCTTGAGGTAACATCTAGCGGTTTGGGATTTTCTAAACACTTAGGGAACTTTTCTTTCCTTTTTGGACACTTGAGGCTTTGCCTTCTTTTCATTCTACTTAGAACCCTTTTTACTTTCCTTTTTTAACTTCCCAAACCTTTACTAGACCCTTTTAAACACTGCCAACTCCCTGGACTAAACTCTTTTTCCTTTGGGTTTTTCCCAACTTTTACCACTTTTCTGGTTTTTACACCCAACTCGATCGAGCTCGAGTTGGCACCCCCAAACTTAGCCTGAAAACAATCCCAAGAGAACTAGACAACTAGAACTACTGCCCCTGCCGGTTTAAACACAACACCTTATGCTAAGCAAAGCCAAGAAAGGTTCTCACATTCGCACAAGAGATAATATGGGGTTTGAAATGAAAAGGCTTAGGTTTAAGGTGTGGTAACTGTCTCAAAGATAGAGATCAGCTATCTGGACAAGCAAAGGGATATGAAAAGTAAAGAATGTCCAGATATGTATGTGGTAGCCATGAGTTGAAATCAAATGCAAGCATTGGTAATTAAAGATCAAGTTATGGTTCAAATAGATAGGGAAATGCATCAAATCACAGCAATGGTTGAATGAGATGTGCATGCAGTGATATGATCAAGATAAACATGGTTCTTGCTGCTCAATCAATCTCACCCTAATGCACAAAAGAATCTAAAAACAGGGCACTCAAGAAATCGCAAAAGATGGACAAGTTTTCAAAGTCAAATCAACAATGCAAGTGAAAAATGCAATCCTAAACAAGTCTAACAAATATGAATGCAAAAAGATGAAAATATTTTTGGATTTTTTGAAAATTTTATGATTTTTTTGGTTTTTCTATGCAAAAGATAAATGAAAAACTAAGAACAAAGAAAACAAGGTTAAATCATCTCTTGAACCCTCCCCCAAACTTAAATCACACAGTCCCTTGTGTGAGAAAAATTTAGTGAAAGATTCAAGAGGGCAAAACCAAGAAAAACAAGAACAAAGCAAGAAAATATGAAATGGTATATACAAGGGTTGGTGTTTGGATACCTCAGTGCCCCCCAAAGAACTGGGAGACTAGGTCGTGGTCTGGAGATGGGAGACGGCCATCAGGAGCGCTCCATCAACTGGGTTGCCTCACTCGATCGAGCTTGCTCTTGACTCGATCGAGTTGTGCCTCGAGTTGCCACTTCTTCCTAAAACCTGCTCCTGTAAGACTTAGCCAAGAAAATCATAAAATAAAAGGATAAAGCGTAAATATATAAGATAGACATGGGAATTCCTCCCAAGTGAGCTTGTTTTAGGTCTCTTAGCTTGACCTTACCCCTTTTAGGCCGGGGTTGGATCTTCTAGAGGAGTGATGATCTCCTCTGTGGGGGTCATTCCTAGATATGGCTTGCATCTATGTCCATTCACTGTGAATTCCTTCCCCTCTTGATTGAGCAGAGTGAGGGACCATAGGGTAGAACTTCGTGAATCTTGAATGGTCCCGCCCACTTTGACCTCAGCTTCCCGGGAAACAACCTTAGCTTGGAGTTATACAAGAGCACACTGTCCCCAACCTTGAAGTCCTTAAGGCGAATCAGTTTGTCGTGGGCTGCCTTGGTTCTCATCTTGTAAATCTGGAGTTCTCATAGGCATTCATTCTTATTTCCTCCAACTCAAACAAGTTCATTACCCTCCTTTCTTGTGCTGCCTTTATATCAAAGTTCAGCATCTTTACTGCCCATAAAGCCTTGTATTCGACCTCCACAGGTAAGTGGCAGTCCTTCCCATATTAGGAGACCTTCCAATGGGGGTTTTGTAAGCTGTTCTATAAGCCCAAAGTGCCTCATCAAGCCTTGCTGCCCAGTCCTTTCCTAGTGAAGCTCACAGTCTTCTCCAATATGGCCTTATCTGTCTGTTGGAGACTTCAACTTGCCCACTGGTTTGAGGGTGATAAGGTGTGGCGACCTTGTGCTTGACTCCATGGCTCTCATCAACTTTTCAAACACCTTGTTGATGAAATGGGAGCCTCCATCCGAAATAACAACCCTTGGGATGCCGAATCTTGGAAAGATGATGGTTCTGAAAGCTTGACAACCACCTTGGCATCACAGGTTGGGCAGGGAATGGCTTCAATCCATTTGGATACATAGTCCACAGCAACCAAAATGTAGTTGTGCCCGTTTGAAGAAGGTTTGAAAGGTCCCATGAAGTCTATTCCCCATACATCAAAGATCTCAACTCTAGAATTGGGTTTAGTGGCATCTCGTCCCTCTTGGTGATCCCTCCTTTCCTTTGGCATGGATCACACTTGGCAATGTACTTGCTGCATCCTTAAACAAAGTAGGCCACCATAAACCCAGATTGCAAAACCTTAGTTGCTGTTTTGAATGTAGCAAAGTGACCTCCATAAGCTGACCCATGGCAATGCTCTAGAACTCCTTGCACATCCTCTTCAGCAATGCATCTCCTGTAAATGCTGTCTGGTCCTCTCTTGTACAAGTAAGGCTCATCCCAATAGTAATGCCTAGCATCCTTGAAGAATTTCTTCCTCTTGTAAGCATCAAAGCTACTAGGGACTTCTCCGGACACCATGAAGTTCACTATATCAGCATACCATGGCAAATTCTCATCACGCAGAGCCTTAACTTCTTCCAGCCTGCTTTCTCATCAAAACTCTCCTTTCAAGATCATGATTGCCATAAGCTGTTCTTCAGGCATAGAATCATTGATGGGGATCATGTCTTCAACTCGCATCCTAGAGAGATGATCAGCAACTCCATTTTCTACTCCCTTTTTGTCCACAACTTCTATATCAAACTCTTGAAGCAAAAGGATCCATCTGAGAAGTCTTGGCTTTGTATCTTTCTTAGCGAAGATGTGTCTAAGGGCAGCATGGTCAGTGTGCACAATCACCTTGGATCCAACTATATAGCTTCGAAACTTCTCAAAGGCAAAGACTATGGCAAGGAGCTCCTTCTCTGTGGTTGCATACTTGCACTGAGCATCATCCATAGTCTTGCTTGCATAGTAGATGACATTGAGTTTCTTGTCTATCTTTTGGCCAAGCACTGCTCCTACTGCATAGTCAGATGCATCACACATAATCTCAAATGGGTGATCCCAGTTTGGAGCTTGTACTATTGGCGCAGATACCAGAGCATCCTTCAGCAAGGTCCAAGACTTGTGGCATTCTTCATCAAACTCAAAATCTGTCTCCTTGCACAGAAGCCTTGTCAAGGGTCTTGCTATCTTTGAGAAATCCTTGATGAATCTTCTGTAGAACCCTGCATGACCCAGAAAACTCCTTATGTCCTTCACAGTCTTGGGAACAGGGAGCTGCAACATGACATCCACCTTAGCTCGATCGAGCTCGATCCCTTTCTCGGAAATCTTGTGTCCAAGCACAATCCCTTCTCGAACCATGAAGTGGCACTTCTCCCAGTTGAGTACTAGATTGGTCTCCTCACACCTCTGCAACACCCTGCACAAGTTAGACAAACATGAGGAGAAGGATGCTCCATAGACTGAGAAATCGTCCATGAAGACTTCTACCATCTCCTCTATCAGATCTGAAAAAATGGAGGTCATGCACCTCTGGAAAGTAGCTGGAGCATTGCACAGCCCAAATGGCATCCTTCGATAAGCAAAGGTGCCATAAGGGCATGTGAAAGTGGTCTTCTCCTGATCATTAGGGTGGATCGGGATTTGGAAGAAACCACTGTAGCCATCAAGAAAACAATAAAAGGGTGGTTTGCCAATCTTTCTAACATCTGATCAATGAAAGGGAGAGGGAAATGATCCTTTCTAGATGCTGAATTTAGCTTCCTATAGTCAATACACATGCGATGCCCCACTATTGTTCTAGTGGGAATCAGCTCCTCTTTGTCGTTTTTAATGACAGTGATCCCCCCTTTCTTTGGGACGCAATGAACTGGAGATATCCAAGTGCTATCACTGATGGGATAGATTATCCCAGCATCAAGCAACTTGAGTATCTCTTTCTTCACTACTTCCTTTAGATTGGGGTTCAATCTCTGAGGTTCAATGCTTGACTTACTTTCATCCTCTAGATGAATCCTATGGATGCATAGGTCAGGGGAGATCCCCTTGATATCATCTAGAGTGTAACCTATTGCCTTTCTGTACTTTCTCAATTCAACAAGCAAAGCACTCAACTGTTCAGGTTCCAAATCAGAGTTCACAATGACAGGGTAAGTTGAGTTTTCACCCAGAAATGCATACCTGAGGCCCTCAGGCAAAGGTTTGAGGTCGACTTTAGGCGCCTTAAGCTCAGACCAATCTCCTTGAGCTTGCTCCTTGCTTCAGCCCCAGCTCGATCGAGTTCGTTTGTTCGAAACTCGACTCGATCGAGTTCTTGATCGAGCTCACTGCCATGACTTCGCAAACTGGCCTGTCCAATCCCTCAATGCTCAGAATGTTTGGAACTGGTCTGAAGGTGTCAAGGAGCTTCTTGTACTCATCAGTTTCTGAGCTCACATATCCCTCTGAAGAATCCTTGGTCAAAGCAACTTGTAGTGGATCCTCTGTTGATAACTCTTCTAGAAGCTCATCTGCCAACTGATCCATTTCCTCAACATAAAAGAGCTGACCTTCTATAGTTGGTTTCCTCATTGTATCTTGATATCAAACTTCATCTTCAGGTCCTTTCCCAAGTTTAACTCAATTGTTCCTTCACAGACATCTATCATTGCTCTTGCTGTAGCTAGGAATGGCCTTCCTAGAATCAATGGATCTGTTGGTTCCTCATCCATCTCAAGCACAATGAAGTCTGTGGGGATTCTCCACATTCCCTATCCTCAAAGGCAGGTCTTCAAGCATCCCAGTTGGTAACCTTATCGATCTATCTGCCAAGACTAGTGAGATTCCGCAGGCTTGGTACTTGTGATATCCCAGTCTCTTTGCTACAGACAAAGGCATGAGGCTGACAGATGATCCTAGATCGCAGAGACTGTTTTTGAAAGATAGGGGTCCTAACATGCAGGGCAAAGTGAAACTCCCCGGATCTTCCTTTTTGTCGGAGATGACCTTCCGCTGAATGATTGCACTGCACTCGCGAGTCAACACTACCATCCCTTGTGCTTCCCTGGTTCTTTGCTGAACAGCATCCTTCAGAAATTTCTGATAAGGTGGAATGAGCATCAAGGCGTCGATGAAGGGCAACTTCAACTCAAGCTGTCTCATTAGTTCATCAAACTTGGCCTTGTGTGCTTCCAACAGTTGTTTCTTGAACCTTCCTGGAAAGGGTAGAGGGGGCTTGTATGGTGGTGGTCCTGCTGGAGTGTCTTTCTTCTTTGCAACAGGTTTAGCTGGTTGGCTGGAGTTTGCTTTGTCTGCTCTCTTCTGGCTCGATCGAGCTCTGGTTTGTCTTGCAGTGTCTCAGGTTTCTTCAGCTCGATCGAGTTCTGGTTCAGGGTTTTGTTCCAGCTCGATCGAGTTCGGGTCGAGTTATCAGCATAGTCGACTAAATCCTCCCCTTCCTCGTCATCGATGTCCACAGCGATTTGGGGTGGGCTACCTCTACTGGGAATTGCTCCACTTCTTAGTGTAACTGCTTGGGCATACTTCTTGTGGTGAAAGGTTTTTTGTGTGTGTAAGTGGAAAGATATGAAATGAGATGAGTGGAATGCAATCAGTGGTATATGATGGTGGTAAGATGCAAACACAAACACAGTCAACAATTCCCTTTAACCATGATAGTTGTAGTACAAAGGGTTATCAATCCAAAATGGGAAACTTGTCACTCTATGAGAATATGAAACAACCAGGAAGTCAAGCAAGCAGTTATAGATTTGAAGTAACACTAACAACCTAAAAATGAAATGCAGTGCAATAAAAGTAAAGAAAGCAGTGAAGTCAGCTCGACCAAGACTCGAGTCGAGTGGAACAGAGTACCAGCTCGATCGAGTTTAGGGTCGAGTTGAGAAAAAAAGCTAAAGGTGACGACTTTAACAAGATAAGAGAGAATTAGGGTTCAAGACAGGGTTTTGCAATCAAAGGAATCTACACTTAATCAATCTAGCTCTTAAAACTCCTTGTATCAAGGCTTCTCTTGATATTGGGCTTCTCAATGCCTAGCCAACCCTTTCCCAAGGTGGAGGCTATCAACCAAGGAATGATCTCAGAAACAGGGGGTTAGCCAGTGAGAATCAAACCTTGGAGGCTATAGGATCATTGCCCAAACTAATCCATCCAACCCCTTAGACCTCTATTGTCTAGAGCAAGAGATATTGGAGCTCTTAGTGGATCTTTTCCAGCGAATGCCATCACTTCGTGTGGGGAGTCGCCTAAGGACTTACAAGCCAGGGGTAGTGGTCATGTAGCCTTAAGATCTATCCAAAAGAGAGAGAATCTAGATTAAGACCATAAGCTAGAAGGATTAAGCATATGAAACCTCTAATCTATCCCATCTCAAACCCTAATGGGTAACTACTCACTACACATGAATGTAAACACAAGCAAATGCAATAAAAGAGACATCATAAGAAAGAGGAGATGAAATTAAACAACTTTTATTGAAATAAGCAAGTGCAAATACAAAGAGATTAATCCAGGATCTAAGATTCAAGAAGCAAGAGCTTCAAGAACACAAAGATGGGATTAGCTCTAAAAAGTAAAGACAATAAATTAAAGAAACTAAAACAAAATAATCTAAAGCTTGGTGGTTTTTTCGTGGCTTTTAGCCTTTAAATACAAAGAGGATTAGGTTTAGGGTCAAAGGAAAGTCAAGGGGGAAGCAACATTTTTCGGGTTTGACTTTGACTTCTCAGCTCGATCGAGTTGAAGCTTGGCCGGTCGAGTTGAGGAACTCGACCGGTTGGTCGAGTAGACGGTCGAGCTGGTCTTCAAGATGGCTTCTCCCTTCTTCCTTTGCGTATCCAGTTGAGCTGCTTCCATGTGCCAAGTCCCTCCATGCTCCTCATGTCCCATATGCTCCAGAATGCTCCAAAAGACCTATTTCAAAGGACCAAACATGCATATGTATGCAAATGCAACCTAAAACTAACATGAATGCATAAGAAGAGAAAAGGAACAAGATATGATGCAAATGGAAGCTAAAACTATGCAAAAGATGCATAAAAGATGTGCTAAAACTATGTAAAATGCAAGTACATCAGGCCTATTCGGCGAACATCGACATTTTGTGGCGCTTCTCGGAACGTCTGTGCCTAGGACGGTTCGGGGGTGTTACAAATGGTGGTATCAGAGCATGGTTCATGATCATGCTCGGGAACAAGGATTTTTAAAACGTTTTATCGAGTCAAAAAGGAGTCGCAAAAACTACCTTAGGTAATCTGGTCTGTCTGCAGCATATAGGTAGAATGTTTAGGTTGTGGTTAAGCATTGCTTGATGTTGCTTATAATTTCTGATTGATCATGCATGTTCTTGTTTGATTGTTGCATGGTCAGTATAGAGGTTATGGTAACATTGTGCAATGTGGTAAGCCATGTTTGAGGTGTCTATGGGTGTTGATCATCCATAGAATAGATGGATGCGGATCATCCATGGGATAGATTGTGTTGAATAGGAACCCTAATGTTTGCTTTGTGGTGATAGCTTGAAGTCATGAGTGACTGGTTTGTGGATGATGAGGGGTCGTGGTTTAGTACTGGGCAAGAGTGGACAGTGGAGTCTGGATCGTCGAGCTCAGAACCATCGAGCAATTCGGAGCACTGGATCGTAGTGACGGACTTGGAACAGCAGACACTAACAGATCATGATAGCAGCAGTGATTGGGACGAGGACGTATATCTTATGCCGAGAGACAACGTGCAGCCCAGCACAACGGTGAATGAGTATGGCGAACACATGACTTGGCCAGTACATTACCCTGAGGAGGAGAGAGTAGTGCCATCTACTCAGATCATAGAGATCAGTTCAGGCGAGACTACACCAAACTCTTGGGATAGAGATAGTCCACCAAGTGTTCTACCGCATATACCAATGCCGCATGTATTTGCACCGGGAGGTGGAGTATATCCGTACATGCCAACGGAGGAGAATCCAACGGACTACGTATACCCGTTCATTACCACGGGTGTAGAAAGCAATGATCCAGCCATCGCAACTTCAAGTCAATAACGTGAAGTCTTCACAAACCAACCTGAAGAACCGGATACGCCGGAACCAACATGGGAGGATTATCTTGGACACCAGAACGTATCACCCACGTACTGGACAAGGAAACTCAACGAGATCGCTGGATACACATCATCAATGGAGCATGGAGAAGGAAGCATACCTCAAGATCAAGGAGAAGCTAATGCAATGTGGTGTACAATGTATGGAGAACAAGATGCACCAAACTCGGTGGCAGGCAATGAATCAACATCAAATACCGGATCTTAACCAAACCACGGAGGAAGGTACCGGAGAGAATGAATGGCTACAAGATGATGAAGGTCTTAACCTAGCAAGAAGGTGGGATGAGATAATCGCCACAGAATTGGAGAATCTCAGAACAGAGGGTAATGGTCAAGAGCAAACTGTGTCACGCCAAAGGGGAAGGCCTCCCAGAAGACTCGCGAGGATGAGAGTCCCAGCACCGTCTCAAGTCACGCTACCATGCGATCAATGTGGAAGGACGGGACATCATAGCAGGAGCATGTCCCAATGTGCGAGCTAGATCAAGGATGAATGAAAGGCAGAACATTTGCCTTACTTGTGGAGAGAAAGGACATTTCTCAGCAGACTGTCCAAGGAACTGCCCCAGTACTAGTCAACCCACCCGCTCAACCACAAGGAGAGAGAGGCGACCAGGGAGTGGAAGCCGTAGAATGTAAGATAGAGTTTAGGAACCCTAAACCACATGCCGAGAAAAGGTATTTTTCGGGTTCTAACTCAATCTTTGAATGGTTTATTTTCTTGCTTGCTTGGTATAGTAAGTAGGATTGTTTGGTGGTTTAAGTTGAGTTTGGTAGAGACATCGTTTAGGAAACCCATGTTTTGGGAAACGATGTGGTGAAAGGAGATTCCGATGTTTCTATTTCCAGTGGGAAATGAAACTAGAGCGGATATCCTTGGAACCAAGTTGGTTCTGGTAAGTAGTTTTGGGTATTAGCACATCGAGTAGGAACCCTTAAAGGGAAGCGATGTGTTAATAGGAGGAAATTCCGTGAATGCTGTTTCCAAGAGGGAAATAAAGCTAGGACGGAAAATCCTTGAGTAAGAGGTTAGGTGGTTAGTGATGCGGGATCAGGTCTTCCCTTTTCCTATCCCTGATTCTGCAAGTGCACAGATCAAAAGTAGTAAACGGGTATCGAACACAAGGAGCAGATAAGTACACTTCGAGTATTGCAAGTCTAATATAGCTAGAAAACAAGTATGATTTAGGGTTTTTGATTGTGTAACAAGTAAATCAAACAGCAGATTAAACGGTTTATGAAAATCAATAGAGGGAAACGCTAGGCAATGAGAAACTCGCAGAGATTCAAGGTTAACAAGATATTAGAAGGTTTACTAGGGTTTGCGCTATCTAGAACTCAGGTCACGATTGTATGATCTTTCCACTGTCGAGGCTCCGACCCCTTTGTTAATCTACCTAGTCGCTAAACTTTTGGTATGTCCCTAGGTGATTAAATCAAGCAATAGAATTCGTTCAAGACCCAATTGTTCACAATATAGATAGATCAACTTTCGCAGTCTATGAAGTTTTGCTCACCAAATACTTAGTTCAGGTTATATAGCAAGCTTTTGGAGAGTATATGAAACCTAAGATCTGATGCTAGATGATCAGAAAAGCAAGCAGCAAGTTAAGTTCAAGCAGAGGCGAAGATGCGATATGATAAACCCTAGTGACTTCTAACAACCTATCAAACCATGAACTCTTGATAGATCTCACAACCTAACTAGTGAATTACTCAGACATAATCAAAGCAAAACACAAAGAGATGAAGAAAACATGATTGCAATAAAACTTAAAGTAGGAAATCGAAATACAAGGGCGGCTCTCTTTCTCAAGAGGCTAAAAATCCATATATATAGTGCTAGGTCTTTCTAGAGGCGGCTTAGGGTTAAGCCGGGCTTGAAAACATAAGTTTGGGCTTCAAAAAGGGCTTCGGGTCGACCGCGGCGTTGGGACGGTCGTGCGGGACGATCGGCCGGACAATCGGGTCGTGGGCCGAGTCGGAACGGTCGGGGCGGATGATTCGCGGTCGGCCGGCGTGGTCGACGGATGAATTTGGCCGATGAAATTCTCGGCCGGACGTGGGACGTTCTTTCCCGGCTCGGACGGATGCATCGGCCGTGGTACGCGATGGGTTGCGCGGCCGCGAGGCTTGTTTCCCGGCTCGCGCGCTTTGGTCGTGCGCGGCGTGGCGTGCGTTGGCTTGGCCGACCGCGGGCAATGTTTCCCGGGTCGTGCGTGATCGGCCGAGTGGTTTTGGACTTTGGCCGAGACTTCAGACGGACGGATTTTGGCCGAGCGCGGAACATTCGTTCCTCGGCCAGCCGGACTGCGCGGTTGGGCGCTGATTCTCGATAGAGCCGTCTGGACAGTCTTCACTCTTTTGGTTAAACTCCTTTTCTACTCATCCAAATTAGGCCATTCCAGTTGCGTTGGAAAGTTAACTCAATCAGAGCACGCAGGGAACTGGTCTTGATGAAATCCATTGAGTAGATCTTTTTCTGGGCCCTCTTAAAGTTGGTGCTTGTGCATGGAGCGCTTGAAGTGCAAATCCTATGGTTTTGCTCCAAAATGCATCATTTCACCTGTTTAGACTCTAGACACTATAAACACAGTAAAACTACCTTTTTAGATAGAAAACCTGCCAAAAACCATTAGAAAACAATGCTAAAACAGTATAAAAAGTGGGTAAATTAGAGGTATATCAACTCCCCCAGACTTAGATCTTTGCTTGTCCTCAAGCAAAAAGAATCTAAATCCGTGAAAGAGGTTTGAAAACGTGGAAGCTCCCTTGCTCTTTTGAATATCCTGTGAAAGGTTCCTTTCCTGTATTCCACTATGAACATAGACAACATAAGGTTAGCTTCACATACACCCTGCAAGTTTAGCGAACAATACCAACCCAACTAGTCTCATCCAGCAATCCAAACTCTCTATTGCTAACCTCTTGCATAAATTTAAAGCGTGAATTCTTTATCAAGGGGACATCGATCAATTGAACTTGTTCTTACCCACTTGATCCTCTCCAAGATTGCCTCTTTAAGTGCAATGAGTTCTTTTCCTCTCTCTTTCTCACATCAGAACTTTGAAAGGTCAATTTCTCCCTACTTTTCTAGGGTATCATTTTATTTTTTCTATTGACCCTTCTTTCAACCACAGGATAAGTCTTTAGCTTGTTCCTTGTTTGACTAAGGTATTCCATAAGACATGAAGGTACAGACATATGCATTCCTCATGCTTACTTGTTTTCCTTGTGCTCTTTGAGCTTTTTCTCATAAACATTACTTACCATTTGGGATGGGAGAGAGAGGAGAACTCTTTAAAGATTAGACAAATCTTATTGAAAATCAAGCAAGGAACTGTCGACATGTATGCCAACCCCCTTGACAAGAGTAATTAAGATTGATTAAGGTGAGGTTAACTCTAGATTGCTTGGTTACCTTAGAAATTTTGCTGAGCTAGCATGTCGATCCACTGTAAGAGCTTCTGTTAGGCTTGTGCCTTTAGCTGGTTTCTGCTCTAGGGTCATGGATTGTTAGCATAACACTCTCAATTCTCAAAGCAAGTTCATAACTTCCGGACTGGTTTTTGACTCAATAAAACTTTTTGAAAAACATGAAACAAAGTGAATAAAACATAAGAAAAGAAAGAAAAATGCATTAGTAACACAATAAAACTCCCCCCAGACTTAACTTGCACCGTCCCGGTGAAAGCAAATCACATTAAGGTGAGAGGTAATATTCAAAAAAAAGAAAAATTAAAGAAAGAAAATGAAAAGAAATGACCTTCAATGGGTTGCCTCCCATTCAGCGCTTTGTTTAAAGTCATTAGCTTGACTGTATGGCACTTCCTTAAGGATCTGGTGGATCGCCAAGAGCAGTGTGGTCTCCTGTGGTATGGTGGTGGAGGCTAGGTAGGGTTTTAACCTTTGTCCATTGACTGTAAAGTCTCCTCCCATTGGGTCCCATAGTACCACTGCTCCATAGGGGCGAACTTCTTTAATCCTGAATGGTCCTGACCATCTTGAGCGAAGCTTTCCTGGAAAGAGTTTCAACCTTGAGTTGAATAGTAGAACTTGGTCGTTTGGCGCAAAGTTCTTTGGGATGATCTTGCGGTCATGGAAAGCTTTGGTTCTCTCCTTATAGATCTTTGAATTCTCATAAGCCAGATGCCTAATCTCATCAAGCTCATTCAGCTGAATCAATCTTCTTTCTCCTGCTGTCTTTAGGTTGAAGTTCAACTCCTTAATAGCCCAAGCTGCTTTGTACTCCAAGCTCCACAGGTAAATGACATGCTTTACCATAAACAAGATGAAAGGGGGTGGTACCAAGTGGTGTTTTGAAGGCAGTGCGGTATGCCCATAGAGCATCATCTAGTTTGGCACTCCAATCCTTTCTTGTCTTGCCTGTTGTCTTCTGAAGTATGCTCTTGAGTTCTCTGTTTGAGATCTCAACTTGTCCACTAGTTTGGGGGTGGTAAGGAGAGGCAACTTTGTGAGTAACTCCATGCTTCTTCAAAAGGTTGGCAAAGATTCTGTTTATGAAATGTGAACCTCCATCACTTATGACTATCCTAGGCACTCCAAACCTTGGAAAAATGATGGATTTAAACATCTTGATGACCACTTGTGCATCATTAGTAGGGCTGGCATGGCTTCCACCCATTTGGAGACATAATCAACTGCCACTAGAATGTATTGGTCACCAAAAGAGGTTGGGAAGGGTCCCATAAAGTCAATGCCCCAAACATCAAAAACTTCAACTTCTAGTATAAAGTTCTGTGGCATCTCATTCCTCTTGCTTATATTTCCCATTCTTTGGCAAGCATCACATCTTGATATGAATGCATGAGCATCCTTAAACATTGTTGGCCACCAAAATCCAGCTTGTAGGACCTTGGATACTGTCTTGTAAGTGGCAAAGTGGCCTGCATAGCTAGAACTATGACAAGCAAACAATATTCCTTCTACCTCTTCCTCAGGTATGCATCTTCTAAACATTCCATCTGAACATTTCTTGTATAAGTAAGGTTCATCCCAGTAGTACCTTCTTACATCACGCAGAAATTTCTTCTTTCTGTAGCCAAAGAAGTTTGGTGGTGGGTATTCAGCTGCAAGGAAGTTTGCTATGTGGCGAAACCATGGTGTGTTTGATGATGAGATCTTTGTTCCTGGCCTGTGATGGCCTAGTTGTCCATGCTTATTGCTAGCTTCAGCTGCATAAACTGATTCTTCAGGTAGCCTATCATCAAGGGTAGATTTTCTTCAACTCTCATCCTTGAAAGGTGATCAGCTACTCCATTATCTGCTCCTCTTCTATCCTTGATCTCAAGATCAAATTCTTGCAATAGTAGTATCCATCTCAACAATCTTGGCTTGGCATCTTTCTTGATAAAGATACCTTAATGCTGCATGATCAGAGTGAACTATAACTTTCGATCCCACCAAGTATGATCGAAATTTTCAAATGCAAAGACAATAGCAAGAAGCTCCTTTTCTGTTGTGGCATACTTGCATTGTGCCTCATCAAGTGTTCTGCTGGCATAGTAGATCACATGTAGCTTCTTGTCTTTTCTTTGTCCAAGCACTGCTCCTACTGCATAATCACTTGCATCACACATTATCTCAAAAGGTAGTTCCCAGTTTGGAGGTTGAACCACTGGCGCACTGACCAATGCATCTTTGATCTTAGTGAAAGCCTTGTGACACTCCTCTGTGAACTCAAAGTTAATATCCTTGCATAATAGGCGTGTTAGCGGCCTTGCTATCTGTGAGAAATCTTTAATGAACCTCCTGTAGAACCCAGCATGTCCTAGGAAGCTTCTGATATCTTTACTGTCTTGGGCGGCTGAAGGTTTGTCATTACTTCAATCTTGGCCTTGTCAACTTCTATGCCTCTCTCTGAGATTCTATGTCCAAGCACTATTCCATCTCTAACCATAAAATGGCACTTCTCCCAATTTAGAACTAGGTGCTTGTCTTCACATCTCTGTAGCACTCTTCCAAGATTTCCAAACATGATTCAAAGGAAGAACCATATACTGAGAAATCATCCATGAAAACCTCCATAATCTCTTCTATGAGATCTGTGAATATGGACATCATACACCTTTGGAATGTAGCTGGAGCATTGCACAATCCAAAAGGCATTCTCCTATAAGCATATGTGCCATAGGGACAAGTGAATGTAGTCTTCTCCTGATCATCTGGGTGGATTGGAATTTGGAAAAATCCTGAGTATCCATCCAAGAAACAGTAGTATTGATGATTGGCAAGGCGCTCAAGCATCTGGTCTATGAATGGCAAGGGGTAGTGGTCCTTGCGCGTGGAGGAGTTCAGCTTTCCTGTAGTCGACACACATTCTGTGTCCAGTGATTGTTCTTGTTGGAATGAGCTCATCATGTTCATTCTTGATGACTGTGATCCCTCCTTTCTTTGGCACGACATGTACAGGGCTGACCCATGCACTATCTGATATTGGATAAATCACTCCAGCCTTTCAATAGCTTCATTATCTCCTTCTTGACAACTTCCTTTAGGTTTGGGTTTAGCCTCCTTTGGTGTTCAATTGAAGAACTAGACTCATCCTCCAGGATGATGCGATGTGTGCATAGTTCAGGTGAGATTCCTGTTAAATCATCCAAAGAATAACCAAGAGCCTTTCTATGCTTTCTCAGTTCGCAATAATGTAATTGTATTGGAGCATATTAGGCTTTTGGGGCTCTAAGTGGGCACCATGGGTCGAACTTAACTTTGGTTTGTGATATTTCCTGATTCTTGTCAATGTCTGGCTCTTCCTCTTCTCTCTCTAAGTCCATATAAGCTATCAGCTCTTTATAAGCTTCCTTTGAATCCATGAACTTGACTAAGCATTGAGCTTCTCTTTCCATGTATCCATACTCATTCTCAGCTTTGTCAAAGCTAGCTCCAAGGGATCAATAAGAAGGAGTTCATCCAGCACTTCTTCTCTTGTCTCTGCGAGCTCTCCAATCCAAAAAGCTTGACCATCTACAGTTGGCTTCTCCATAGACTTGTTTACTTCGAAATTCATCACTATATCTCCAAGATGCAAGTCAATCTTTCCATTCTTGACATCTATTATAGCTCCTGCAGTAGCTAGGAATGGCCTTCCCAAGATAAGAGGGTCTTTAGGTTGGTGTTCCAGCTCAAGAACTACAAAATCAGCAGGGATGTAGCAATCTCCAACCATGATTGGAACATCCATAATAACACCAACAGGGCGGCGAACAGATCTGTCTGCAAAGACTAGAGATCTTTGTAGGTTTGAAGTCAGTGATGCCCAATAGCTTGGCCACTGAGTAAGGCATTAGGTTCACACTAGAACCCAAATCACAAAGTGCTCTATGGAAGTGTGTAGAACCGATCTTGCAAGACAAAACAAAACTTGGGTCGTTCAGCTTCTCTGGCATGCGATTCTGAAGTATGGCACTACACTCCTTTGTAATCATCATTGCTCCTTCTTCAAGACTCACATTGCTTGTGAGTATGGCCTTCATATACTTCCTGAGAGATGGAATTATTTGGCAGCATCAATGAAAGGTAACCTTACTGAAAGTTGGCTAACAAGATCCTTGAGCTTTGCTTGCTCCTTCTCCTTCTTGGGTTGAGAAAGAACATTTCTGTATGGGATCTTTGGCTCATACACTCTTGGTTCTTCAGGTGGCTTCTCCACTTCCTCCTGAGTTCCTGGTTCTATTCTGACATGGACTTCTTAGGTGGTTCAGTCCCATCTCCAATATGACATACTCCATTGGTTTCTTCTTGATTGGCGGCTTTGCTTCCTCTTGATCTGGGTATGCTGGTGGCTCATACCCTTTTCCATTCCTAAGAGTGATAGCTGCTACAGCTGCTCTCCTTGGATTGATTTCCACTTTTCCTGGTAGCACACCTTCTTCTCTCTTAATAGAGCTGGCTATGTTGGCAACTCTAAGATCCAAGTCTCTTGTGAAAGAAGAAATAGAATCCAACTTCTCATTCAATCTGTGAAGGCTGACTCCAATCTCTCATCAATCAAGGCTGTGTGCTCTCTATGAGAACTCTTGATGAAAGTTATCAAATCTTCAAAATTGCTCCTTGGCTCCATTCTTCTCTTGTGAGGTGGTTGCTGATAATTTCTTCCTCCATGAACATCCCTCTTCTCATTGGGTGATTCTTGAGTAAAAAATGTAGTAACGGGTTATCGAACACAAGGAGCAGATAAGTACACTTCGAGTATTGCAAGTCTAATATAGCTAGAAAACAAGTATGATTTAGGGTTTTGATTGTGTAACAAGTAAATCAAACAGATTAAACGGTTTATGAAAATCAATAAAGGGAAACGCTAGGCAATGAGAAACTCGCAGAGATTCAAGGTTAACAAGATATTAGAAGGTTTACTAGGGTTTGCGCTATCTAGAACTCAGGTCACGATTGTATGATCTTTCCACTGTCGAGGCTCCGACCCCTTTGTTAATCTACCTAGTCGCTAAACTTTTGGTATGTCCCTAGGTGATTAAATCAAGCAATAATTCGTTCAAGACCCAATTGTTCACAACCCCGCATAGATCAACTTTCGCAGTCTATGAAGTTTTGCTCACCAAATACTTAGTTCAGGTTATATAGCAAGCTTTTGGAGAGTATATGAAACCTAAGATCTGATGCTAGTTGATCAGAAAAGCAAGCAGCAATGAATTCAAGCAGAGGCGAAGATGCGATATGATAAACCCTATGTGACTTCTAACAACCTATCAAACCATGAACTCTTTGATAGATCTCACAACCTAACTAGTGAATTACTCAGACATAATCAAAGCAAAAACACAAAGAGATGAAGAAAACATGATTGCAATAAAACTCAAAGTAGGAAATCGAATACAAGGGCGGCTCTCTTTCTCACAAGAGGCTAAAAATCCATATATATAGTGCTAGGTCTTTCTAGAGGCGGCTTAGGGTTAAGCCGGGCTTGAAAACATAAGTTTGGGCTTCAAAAGGGCTTCGGGTCGACCGCGGCGTTGGGACGGTCGTGCGGGACGATCGGCCGGACATCGGTCGTGGGCGAGTCGGAACGGTCGGGGTCGGATGATTCGCGGTCGGCCGGCGTGGTCGAGCGGATTGATTTGGCCGATGAAATTCTCGGCCGGACGTGGGACGTTCTTTCCCGGCTCGGACGGATGCATCGGCCGTGGCACGCGAGGGTTGCGCGGCCGCGAGGCTTTGTTTCCCGGCTCGCGCGCTTGGTCGTGCGCGGCTGGCGTGACGCTTGAAGCTTGGCCGACCGCGGGCTATGTTTCCCGGGTCGTGCGTGTTTTGGCCGAGCGCGGAACATTCGTTCCTCGGCCAGCCGGACTGCGCGGTTGGGCGCTGATTTCTCGATAGAGCCGTCTGGACAGTCTTCACTCTTTTGGTATAACTCCTTTTCTACTCATCCAAATGAGCCATTCCAATTGCGTTGGAAAGTTAACTCAATCAGAGCACGCAGGGAACTGGTCTTGATGAAATCCATTGAGTAGATCTTTTTCTGGGCCCTCTTAAAGTTGGTGCTTGTGCATGGAGCGGCTTGAAGTGCAAATCCTATGGTTTTGCTCCAAAATGCATCATTTCACCTGTTTAGACTCTAGACACTATAAACACAGTAAAACTACCTTTTTAGATAGAAAACCTGCCAAAAACCATTAGAAAACAATGCTAAAACAGTATAAAAAGTGGTAAATTAGAGGTATATCAGTTAGCGAAGTTAGGAGAACCTCGCTAGAGTGGTCAGACCGGGATCAAGACCAACAAGGAAGTGTTGGTTAAGGTACGGTTTTGACATTAGGTAACCCATAGTTAAAGCCGGGATGGATGGTTATGGGAATGGAAATTTGAGCAAGGAGGATCAGAGGAGATCAGTGGAAGAGGAGTCTGCAAGGGGACAACGTGAAGACAAAGTAAGAGGAGTCTGCAAGGGACAACGTGAAGACAGAGTAAGAGGAGGCAAGGCATCTTCAAAGATGGGGAGAGACACCGGAACAATGGAACGTTCCTACTCTCTACAACTGGAATTCGGGGACGAATTCTATTAAGGGGGGGAGAATGTGATACCCCGTATCAAGACCTAAAACATCCCAAAGGCCGGGATGGGAAGATCAACACTCTGGGATTGGAAGACAAAGACGTGGGATCTAATCCAGAGATCACAACGAAGACTTGGATCAAGACAGGATCAAGAACGATCGAGCAGAACTGAAGATACAACAAGATTGTCCAGGTGGGACGATCATTGTACGAACATGGGAAGAGCCGACCGAACGGCGAAATATCAAAGTTCTCCAAATCAAGAAGAGAAGAGTTTGGACGACATAAGAGACCATTCTAAGAAGTTTGGTCGAAGCAGAATGCAAATCGGACGAGCAGATTGAGAGATGGGACGAACGCCCAAGATCTATCCGCAACGACTGCAAGAAACGTAAATGTTCGGGATGGAGGTATTCCGCACATTTCCAAGCAACTATGTGGAAGCTTAGAAACATGGAAATGAGAGAAGGATTAAAATAGGAGATTTTAATTCTCAAGCACGACGGGGACGAAACCCTCCAGACAGGGAAACGTACGAAACCCTCTGGACGAGGAAACGTACATTTGGAGCAATCTTGTTCTAAGCCAACCAAGTGGTGACACCAGCTACTTGGAGAAGATAAGGATGATCTAACCAATATGGAGAAGACACTCAGCTACTCAGATGGAGCCAAAACCATTCAGCCAATCATGTAGCAACATCCAGCTACCGAATGAAGACGAAGCAAGCCTAAACCAATTGGGCAACGACACCAGCTGCTATGGAGGAGAGAGGACGTGGATAAGCTCCAAGAAGACCTGATGCTATCAGGGAGAGACACCCAGCTGCTCATGAGAGACAAGAATTGTCCAAACCAATCAAACGGAGACACAGAAGTGATAAATGGAGACGAAATTGACTTGGACGAATCAGGATGCAACACCAACCACTGAGAGAGAGGAGAAGCTTCAGGAGTGGATGAGAAGCAATTGGAAGATGCAGAAACGGATTGGATCAAGAGCTGACCAATCAGACAGAAGCACCCAGCATCTTAATGGATAAGATGGGTTATATCCAATGGCACGACTACACCACATGCTTGGGGGAAGTCGGCCTATTGGATGAGCATTGAGAGGGGATAGGAATGACGTGTGTCATGTCCTGAGACGCCCTAGAGGCCACCAATCAAAGCTACCTAGCCTAGACCGCCTGGATGTCGCGTTCTGAGGCAGTGTAGGTTGCCACCAAGCAAAGCTATGCTAGGCCTAGGTCTCCATGTGTCTGCGCATGACTGGAGACGTCCCAAGAAGCCAGGCAGCCTCCTGAACTCCTATAAATACGCTCCTCCAGCCCCAAGTCCAAACCATTCCATTCCCAAAGCTAGAGAGCACCTGAAAAGTGATTAGAGAGTAATTAAGAAAGTTTTCTTAATTAAGTGAGGTTAGTGGAAGATTAGAGTAGGTCAAGATCAAAGCTTAAGGAAAGCTAGGAGGTCTTGAAGTCTTCTTAAAGTGGTGAGTCTTGGTGTTATAGTTTTAGTCTTTTGGATCTTTGTGTTTGTATGCAGGTTGTATGAACACCAAAGCATGGGAGATGCTTTCTGTTCATATTGGTTATTGGTTCTGTAGTATAACTCTCTAAACAATAAGGTTTAGTAAAAATTGTGGAGAGTTATGCTGCAGAAATTTATATAATATGTTGTGAGGTTGTGATGGGTAATCTTCTAGGAGAGAAGTTATGCCGTCAAATCTCTTGTGTGTTTATATGCAGGTTTGCATTGTTGTGAGGTTGTGATGGGTAATCTTCTAGGGAGAGAAGTTATGCCGTCAAATCTCTTGTGTTGTGAGGTTGTGTCGGGTAACCTTCGGGGAAGGTTAGGCCGCCAGATCTCTTTTGTGTGTGAGGTTGTGTTGGGTAACCTTCGGGAAGGATATGCCAACAGATCTCTTTTCTGTGTAAGATTGTGATGGGTGACCTTCGGGGAAGGTTATGCCATCAGATCTTGTTAGTGTAGATGCATATCTATACATTAGGTGATGTGAGATTGTGGATGGCTATGCCGCCAAATCTCATAGATGCATCGGTTGTGGGGTTATAGCATGGCTATGCCGCTAAACCTCGAGTGCATACTAACATGGTGGTGCGTAAGGCCCATATGTTGAGTATGACTCCGATGTGGAAAGATCACGGACGGCTGAGCCGCCAGATCTTTCGAGGTTCGTGTGGGTACTCTTCCGAGGCAAGGGAAGCTCTGCCGCAGAACCGGTGGTATGAGGCATAGTGGTGCGTAAAGGCCCATATGCTAAGTACTGAGAACATGTGGCGTGTCTAACCACATGTTGTCTAGGAAGGTGTAGTCAAGCGCATTCTCGCACGTCAGAGCCCAACCGGATTGGCAGCGTGGAGGCTGTGCATGAAGGGAGGAAGACTCGGAGGATAACCTGGTCAGCTGCCTTGGCCGAGTATGGTACCATATGACGATATGGGATCCAACCAGACATTGGCATGGTGCGCCAGTAAGGCCAATAGATGGAAGGATGAACCGGGTACCGCGATGGACTGTAGTGCCCGGGTGAAGGCGTTCATCTAGTTTCTGTGTGATTCCGGATGAGCGTGAACCTTCACAGGCGTGGGCAGAGAATGTGGCTAATGCACCTAGGCGCCTTATTGCATATAGAAAACAAGTATTAGATACTTGTCTAGGTTTGCATGGGCATTGCATATAGATTGTTTGATTGTTGTTATAGTCTTGGGTTGATCGTACCTGTTCTTGTTTGATTGGGGTACGGTTAGTCTTAAGACTATGACATCAATAATGCATGTGATTGCATATGTTGTGTTGTGCTAACCTCATTGCAGGTGGAGGCGGGATTACAAGCCCGCGGCGTTTGGAGTTTAGGGAATCCCCTTGTATAGAGGTCCTAGACTCACTGAGTAATATTAGATTACTCATTCCTTTTGTTTAATGTTTTCAGGTGACCGTAGAGGTGTGAAGTAGAGCGGACCGCTGCAGGCAGTAGGCGCCAGAATAGTTTTGTGGTATGTTTTTGTAAAATAATGGTTTGTTGTTTGGTTTGGAACTAAGGATCGATCCGCATGTTTTTAAGTCGGATTTTGTAAGCACTCTGATATTTTAATAAAGGAAAGTTTTATGTAAAGACCTTATGTTCCAATGATATTAGCTTGGTCCGGGCTAACACAACTCCTGACCGAAGTACGGGTTGGCAAGCCTTAGGCTTTGGTCAAGAGGGTCGAGTTCGTGGAACGGGCTGACCTGGGCTCTGATTTGTTCTTAGTCTGGGATGGCCTATTCGGCGAACATCGACATTTTGTGGCGCTTCTCGGAACGTCTGTGCCTAGGACGGTTCGGGGGTGTTACAGATGGCGCCGTCCAAGCCGGGAAGCTACGTCCCGCGTCCGGCCAATCCATTTCCCGTCCGACCATAGCAGCCGACCACGAATCCGTCCGGCCACGACCGTTCCGATCGTACTAAGAGCGGCCATGACCCGATCATCCGGCCGATCGTCCCGACCGACCGTCCGAACGCCGCGGTCGACCCGAAGCCCGTTTTGAAGCCCGTTTCACATATTTTCACGGCCCGGCTTAACCCTAAGCCGCCTCTAAGACCTAGCACTATATATATAGCTTTTTAGCCTCTTGTGAAAAGAGAGCCGCCCTTGTATCACGATTTCTACTCTAAGTTTTATTGCAATCATGTTTTCTTCATCTCTATGTGTGTTTGCTTTGATCATGTCTGAGTAATCCACTAGTTAGGTTGCTAGGGTTACTAATCAATGAGTTGCTTGCATGATCTTTGATTTCGATGTTTAGCTAGGGATTATCATAGAGTCTTTGTCTCGTCTTGTGCACTTAACTAATGCTGATTGCTTTACCGCGCATCTAGTAATCCGATCTTAGGTTGATTTGAGCCTCGACAGTGTTGTATCATTCGCCGGACATATTCTTTGGCAAGCTAGGTTTCTTAGACTGCGAAAGTTGATCTACTATAATCTAGTGAACTGTATCAGAACCTATTCATTCTAAAGCTTGATTTAATCACCTAGGGACATACCAAAAGTTTAGCGACTAGGTAGATTAACAAAGGAGCCGGAGCCTCGAAAGTGGAATGGTTTTATATTTGTGATCTGTGTTCTAGACGGTTCTAGAAGGTCAGGATGGAAGAAGTCAAGGCATTGCGTGATGAAAACTGATATACCTCTATTTACATGCTTTTTATACTGTTTTAGTATTGTTTTCTAATGGTTTTTGGCAGGTTTTCTATCTAAAAAGGTAGTTTTACTGTGTTTATAGTGTCTAGAGTCTAAACAGGTGAAATGATGCATTTTGGAGCAAAACCATAGGATTTGCACTTCAAGCCGCTCCATGCACAAGCACCAACTTTAAGAGGGCCCAGAAAAAGATCTACTCAATGGATTTCATCAAGACCAGTTCCCTGCGTGCTCTGATTGAGTTAACTTTCCAACGCAATTGGAATGGCATCATTTGGATGAGTAGAAAAGGAGTTATAACCAAAAGAGTGAAGACTGTCCAGACGGCTCTATCGAGCAGCGCCCAACCGCGCACCGGCTGGCCGAGGAACGAACGTTCCGCGCTCGGCCACATCATCCGTCCGCCAAGTCCACGGCCGAGCTCAAACCGACCCGGGAAGCAACGTCCCGCGGTCGAGCCGCCTCGCCACCACAAGCGCACGACCGCGCCCGCGAGCCGGGAAGCAAGCCTCGCGGCCGCGCAACCCATGTACCGCGGCCGATCGCATCCGTCCGACCGGGAAGCTCGTCCCGTCCGGCCGAAATCATCGGCCAATCATCATCCGCCGACCACGCCGGCCGACACGAATCTCGGCCACGACCGTTCCGACTCGGCCGACGACCCGATGTCCGGCCGATCGTCCCGACCGACCGTCCAACGCCGCGGTCGACCCGAAGCCCGTTTTGAAGCCCGTTTCATGTTTTCAAGCCCGGCTTAACCCTAAGCCGCCTCTGAAGACCTAGCACTATATATATACTTTTTAGCCTCTTGAGAAAGAGAGCCGCCCTTGTATCGATTTCCTACTCTAAGTTTTATTGCAATCATGTTTTCTTCATCTCTATGTGTGTTTGCTTTGATCATGTCTGAGTAATCCACTAGTTAGGTTGCTAGGGTTACTATTCAATGAGTTGCTTGCATGATCTTTGATTTCGATGATTAGCTAGGGATTATATTAGAGTCTTTGTCTCGTCTTGTGCACTTAACTAATGCTGATTGCTTTACCGCGCATCTAGTAATCCGATCTTAGGTTGATTTGAGCCTCGACAGTGTTGTATCATTCGCCGGACATATTCTTTGACAAGCTAGGTTTCTTAGACTGCGAAAGTTGATCTACTATAATCTAGTGAACTGTATCAGAACCTATTCATTCTAATGCTTGATTTAATCACCTAGGGACATACCAAAAGTTTAGCGACTAGGTAGATTAACAAAGGAGCCGGAGCCTCGAAAGTGGAATGGTTTTATATTCGTGATCTGTGTTCTAGACGGTTCTTAATATCCCAATATCCCTAATCAATTCATCTATCATTGTTTCATTGATCATTGCTTGCTTCTCTGCGATAGCCCCTATGACCTAGCGCTTTTCCTTTATTGATTTACAACCTCGTTTACTTGCTAGTTCGGTTCACCATTACAACCTCAATCATACTTTTGTTTTAGCTTGATCCAAAATCCATAGTTTCAAAGTGTACTCAATAGCCAGTCCTTGTGTTCGATACCCATACTTCCGCGATCTGTGCACTTGCAGAGGTCTAGGAGTTTGGTAAAACCTGACTCCATCAAGTTTTTGGCGCCGTTGCCGGGGACTGCAGCAGTACCTTTGGAACTCGACTAGGATCTAGTCTAGAACCTTTTCCTGTTTTGCTTTTCTTTTGCTTTTGAATTTTCAGTTTTTGATTTCTTTTCTTTGATTTTTGCTTTTGTTTTTGTTTTTCCCTTTTGATTTAACTTGTTTCCAAGACTCTTTTCAGGTGCATGACTAGGAGGTCCAACAAGGACAACCTAGTTGAACATCCAGAGATAGACAAGCTTGAGAAGCAACTTAGGAAGCAAAAGCCCAAGAGATGGCCGACGAAGCAGCTCGCGCTCACGCCGCTGAAGTGGCGCGCGCTCAAGAAGAAGGAAGAGATCCACCTCCTCCTCCTAATCCACAAGACCCTGCTGGAGATGTGAATGTGCAACCTCAAGCTGGAGCACCTACAATCGGAGACTATGACTCTGCCGATGCTTTCTTCATGGATAGAAACCCTATCCATCCACCACTTCCTGCAAGGAATGACTATGAGATCAAGCCTCAGATCATAGCATTGGTTAGACAGAACCAATTCAATGGCCTTCCAGCTGAGCATCCTCTTGATCACATAGAAAACTTTGAAGAAATTTGCAGCACTACAAGATCCAATGGAGTCTCTGCTGACTACTTAAGTGCAAGCTCTTTTCATTCTCTCTTGGCGACAAAGCTTCAAGATGGTTGAAGTCTCTGCCAGCTCACTCCATTACCACTTGGGATGAGTACAAGGCTGCTTTCATCAACCACTTCTACACCAAGCAAAGATCAATTTCTGTAGGAACAAGATCTCCAACTTTCGCCAAGCCAACAATGAATCTTTCTATGAGGCGCTAGATCGATTCAAGGAGTACATTAGGGACTGCCCTAATCATGGTTTCAATGAGGGAAACCTATGGAACATCTTCTATCGTGGCATAGACCACAAGTACAAGCTTTCATTGGACACTGCAAGCAATGGAAACTTCATGACCAAGACTGTTGATGAAGCTAAGGTTCTTATTGAGAATCTTGCAGCTAGTGATTGTAACAACTGTCCTGATTATGACCGCTCAAGCCGCACCACTACTAGCTCCCCTGATTCTTTTCAAATGACTGAACTCAAGAACATGATGGCTCAAGTTCTTAAGGGACAGCTCAAGCATATCAATGCAATAGAAGGGATGAGTGATGCTAATGAAGACATCAAGAGAATGCATGGGAGATTTCTCTAATGAAGCCAATGAAGAAGATGTGAACTACATTGGAAACTATGGGAACAAGGGATACAATCCAAGCTATCGCCCAAACCCCAACATGTCCTTGTGGGTTCGGAAAACCACACTCAAAATTTATGTGTATTTTGTAGGGAGAAATTGCATGTGGAATCAGAGGTTAGATTCTGATGTAAGTCGAATGATTCGTAGACAAATATTTGACGAAATCGGACTTAGGCTAATCGAATAAAGTGGTTACAAAACTGGCCTAAAAGACCATGTAAAACACTAGGATTCGACTAAGCAAAATATATGGAAATAAGGTGGTGGCTGCGCTCATTAACGAGCTGTCTACGTACCCTGTTTTAGGGATCAAGCCTGGACGTAGTTCGGTTGTAAGTTGTTCTCTATTTCGAGTCGTTTTCTGAAGAGAAATGACCACGAAAAGAGCTAAAGGGGGTGTGAAGATGACGATAAAGCTCAAGTTATCGGAGGGATCCAAAGGTAGAGATTATGTCGAACTTCTGCCGGAAGTGGTTTCCGGCTAGAAAGATCAGGGCTTTCTAGGGTTATCTCGAAGATCAAGGATAAGATCAAAGAGAAAAGATATGAGAATATCTCAAGACGAAGAAGAAGAACTTCACTCTGTTTCATCTGTGAAAAGATTATGAGAAGAACTTGTGCAGTGATTTTTTATCAAAGGAAATCTGTCCCGAAAAGACTAGAATCGTCCTCCTTTTATAACTCCCGATGTAGATCGCAACCTCCTCCGCGTATCTCTTCCACGTGCAGCTGCCGATCCTGCTACTTTCGGATCCAAACGGTCAAAGCAAGATTCTCGTTTGACTCGTTCAGTTCGGCTTGCGGACTTGATTCGTCTTCACAAGTAGCTCGGACAGTAAACAGCTGGTTTTGGACAAGGATACTTGGTGGGCTCGAGGTCACTTTACTGGGCCTGGTGATATGATTATGGCCAGCGCCGAGGTCAAGGAGCATGGACCTAAGCTTGAACCTGATGGAGTTAAGGACTTAAAGCTTGAACCAGTGGAGCAGCTTGAACGTGAGGAAGTAAGCTTGTAGCTAAGGATGAGCTTGAACCGGAGCTTGTAGCGGAGGAAGCTTTAGCTGCATCAATGGAACTGGTTACTCAGTCTGGAGTTAATCTTGAGCTTAGGTGGAGAAGACACGATCCTAAACCTCCCTGGTTTTTGATCCAAGCTCAAGATATCAGCAAATGGGCATGTGATTCATTTGCACTCTTTTTCCCTTACCTTTGGTTTTGTCCCATTGGGATTTCCAAAGGAAGGTTATTAATGAGGCTTATGTTTCACATTCCAATAACCCATTATGCTGATCAAGACCCAAGCCCATCAAGTGGGAAGATTGAAAACGTGGCCATGAAGTCCAAGGGTCTATTTTAGTGTTCAAACTTTCATTTATTGCTTTGTGTGTTTCCAAGATGGTCATTGGAGCTTGTTCCTTGACTCATCTCTTCTTCTTCCCTTCTTCTTTCCCTTTATATTCTGTTGGACGAAATCCTTTTGAGTTTAACCTACTTTTGAATAAAAACCTTTTCTCTTTGTTTAATCAAAGTCCCTCTTAGTGAGTTAAATCTAAGAAATATTCTCTTAGTGTGTTATATCTAAGAAATCCCTTTTCTTTTGTTGTGAGTTATATCAACAAGATTGAAGGTGGCGTTGGAGATCTTTATCCATTAGATCTCTGGTATAAGCCAGAGATCTAATGGGAATAGAGTACCGAGCTCGATCGAGTTTAGGGTCGAGTTGAAGTAAAAAGCAATAAAGGCAGCGACTTTAACAAGCTAATGCGAGAATTAGGGTTCAAGACAGGGTTTTGCAACAGGGAAGCTACACTTAATCGATCTGCTCTTAAAACTCCTTGTATCAAGGCTTCTCTTGATATTGGGCTTCTCAATGCCTAGCCAACCCTTTCCCAAGGTGGAGGCTATCAACCAAGGAATGATCTCAGAAACAGGGGGTTAGCCAGTGAGAATCAAACCTTGGAGGCCATAGGATCATTGCCCAAACTAATCCATCCAACCCCTTGAATCCATTTCGAGAGCAAGAGTTATTGGAGCTCTTAGTGGATTTTTCCAGCGATTTCCATCACTTCCATGTGGAGAATCGCCTAATGACATACAAGCCAGGGGTAGTGGTCATGTAGCCTTAAGATTTATCCAAAAGAGAGAGAATCTAGATTAAGACCATAAGCAAGAAGGATTAAGCATATGAAACCCCTAATCTATCCCATCTCAAACCCTAATGGGTAACTACTCACTACACATGAATGTAAACACAAGCAAATGCAATGAAATAAACATCAAATGAAAGAGGAGATAAAGATAAACAACTTTTATTGAAATAAGCAAGTGCAAATACAAAAGAGATTATCCAGGATCTAGGATTCAAGAAGCAAGAGCTTCAAGAACACAAAGATGGGATTAGAGCTCTAAAAAGTAAAAGACAATAATTAAAAAGAAACTAAAACAAAAGTAATCTAAAGCTTGGTGGTTTTTTCGTGGCTTTTAGCCTTAAATACAAGAGGATTAGGTTTAGGGTCAAAGGAAAGTCAAGGGGGAAGCAACATTTTTCGGGTTTGACTTTGACTTCTCAGCTCGATCGAGTTGAAGCTTGGCCGGTCGAGTAGATGGTCGAGCTGGTCTTCAAGATGGCTTCCTCCTTCTTCCTTTGCGTATCCAGTTGAGCTGCGTCCATGCGCCAAGTCCCTTCCATGCTCCTCACGTCCCATATGCTCCAGAATGCTCCAAAAGACCTATTTCAAAGGACCAAACATGCATATGTATGCAAATGCAACCTAAAACTACTATGAATGCATAAGAAGAGAAAAGGAACAAGATATGATGCTAATGGATGCTAAAACTATGCAAAAGATGCATAAAAGATGTACTAAAACTATGTAAAATGCAAGTACATCACCCTCTCAATTTGCTTTGTTCTCACTTACTGTTCTTCAATTCATCATTCAAGCAAGGTATGAACCCTAAAACCCTTGATTCCTTCCATCTCGATTTCCATTTGCTTGTTTCCTCTTTGATTTTTGATTGCATGTGCCCCTTGTGGGTTTATTCTTGAGTAATTGCTTTCATATCATTCTCCTGTTTATATTTTGTGAATTTGCCTCACCTCACCTCTGTTTCACTTTAGAACTTGTTGCATGTGCTTGAAACATTGAATTTGAGTTTGGTATTGGTTAAGATGCTTTGCTTTTACTAGAATTGCTTATTGTTCCATTTACTTGTTGTTCTTGGTTCAATTTGATTGATTAGCATCCTTTCCAGCTCTTAATACTTGAATTAGGTTCGGTTATACTCTGTTTTCACCTAGCTCGATCGAGTTTGTCACTCGAGTTTTTTGACTCGATCGAGCTGAGTGTCGAGTTGACCAAACCGATCATTACAACTCTAATTCTTTGTAATCTTTGATGCATTTCAGGTACTTTAGTGAAGAAACAGTGTAACAGAGATGACAAACAGTGAGGGAAGTCGCGCTTCACAAAGGAGAATGGTTGAGGGTGAATCAAGCAATGCAAGGGAGAGAAGGCTTAAAATGCAAGCCGATTTGGAGAGGATGACTCAAAGGATGGAAGAGTCTGATGCAGAGGAGTATGTGTACTCTGAGGAAGAGTCTGAGAGTGAGAGATTGAGGGAGGAGAGGAGACCAAGAAGAGGAATGACCCATTAGTAGTGAGAGTGAGCAAGGGGAGTTTGAGATTGGAGTGAACCTTGTTCAAGAGGAGGGAAATGGCTCTCCAAGTGAAGAAGGAAGTGATGAGACTGAGAGTGAAGAGGAAGGAGAAGAGGTGAATCAGTTGGTTGAGAGAGTGAGCAAGAGAGTAACCAAGATGAACCTATGGAGGAGGTTGAGCCACAAGAGGAGGAGGAAGAACTCCCTATGTACCAAGAGCACTACAATGCCCTCTTCTCCATGGACTTCATGGATACCAAGTACCCACATGTTGACACAATGAAGGCCCTTGGAATCTTTGAAGATGTGGAGCTAGTTCTCAAGAACATGCACTTGGCAAAGCTTCTTCTCTTATCACATGGAATCCTACAAGGAGCTCACTTGCGAGTTCTTAGCTTCAATGAGGTACCACATGTACGAAGAGGAAGATAGAGCTGATTTGGACCAAGGATTGGGATGGATCACGTTCTTGGCTAAGGGAGAGAAGAGAATGGTGACCTTTAGGCAGTTGGAGATCTTGTTTGGGTTCAACTATGGAGAAGGTACCAAGTGGAACTTCAAGGAGAAGGAACTCCAAAGGGTTTGGGCTACAATCGCTGATGGGAGTACTCTTCCTCAAGGTCCAAGGCAGCTCAAATCAGGAGCCCAGTCTTGAGGTATGTGCACAAGGCACTTGCCAACACCTTCTTTGCAAGGAAGGCGACCGGGACCATCAACGAGGGGGAACTCAAGTTTCTTGACATGGGAATCAAGCCATTCTCTCACGCACAAGCGATGGCAAGAGGATCAGGGGAGATAGATCCAACACAGGGAACTTGATGCCTTTCCTTGATCATCTCCTCACCTACAAGACCACAGCCTACAACACTAGACATCAACGAGGAAGGCGCCTAAGTGTTGGAGGGCTCATCACTCCTATCTTGTGTGCTGCTGGAGTGAACCCAACTGATAGGAGAGCCACTGAACCAGGTTGGATGGACATCAAGTTTTGCAAGACAACCACCTCATTGAGCACAAGGAGTTGGATGGGAGGTTCCAATTCAAGTTCACACATCCATTGGCTGGCCCTTCCAAGCTTCTCCTGCCCAACCCAGAGCTCACCACAGTCGGGGGTGAGAACATTGACTTCAGACCCCCTGTGTACACTTAGTTGGGCATGAGGGATTTGCGAGAAGAGGAGCCTGAACTCGATCGAGCTGAGGATCGAGCTGAGATTCAGCTGAAGATCAGTCCAGGAGAATGCGGATTTGGGTGAGCCTGAGTGCTACTATTTTGAGGAGTATGAGGCTCCAAGGATGAACCCCTCTGTTGTGGCTGCCCACAAGAGGATTGGACTTCTCCAAAAGTTCAACAAGTGGCAAGGGAAAGCCATGGAAAGATGCAAAAGTCCATGGACAAGATGGTGAGCAAGATCAAGAAGTTTGGAGAAGAAGGTTTCTGGTTCTTCATCAAGAAGAAGAAGGCCCAAGGCCCCCTTTCCCTAGGAGTAGATCACTCCTCACCACCCAAGGAGGCTCCTGCCCAAGAGCCTCACAGAGCCTCTTCATTCGAGCCAAGGGAAGGAGAAGACAACACGCAGAGAAGGAGGAAGAGTTCCAAGGCCAGACGCTCCAACTCGACCACCGGACTCGATCGAGTCCAAACAGAGGAAACTCAACTCGATCGAGCTGAGGTCGAGTTGACCTGGAGGAGCCCAGTTTGAGAACCCTGGATTTGAGTACGATCCAACGCCTTACCAGGAGCCTCCTCAGAGTAGATGGAACCCCTATGGACAGTACGAGCTAGCCATGCTCCACCAAGGCCAAGGGAGCCACACACACTTCAATGAAGAAGAGGAAGAAGAGGAGCCGCAAGCTCGATCGAGTGAGCGTGAACCCCGAGTGGAGCTCCTGATGGCCGTCTGCCCTCTCCTGACCACGACCTTGCCTCCCAGTTCTTTGGGGGGCACTGAGGTATCAAACACAACCCTTGTAATACCATTTCATATTTTCTTGCATTTGTTTTTCTTGGTTTTGCCCTCTTGAATCTTTCACTAAATTTCTCTCACACAAGGGACTGTGTGATTTAAGTTTGGGGGAGGGTTCAAGAGATGATTTAACCTTGTTTTCTTTGTTCTTAGTTTTTCATTTCTTTTGCATAGAAAAACCAAAAAAATCATAAAATTTTCAAAAAATCCAAAAATATTTTCATCTTTTTGCATTCATATTTCTTAGATTGTTTAGGATTGCATCTTTCACTTGCATTGTTGATTTGATTTGAAAACTTGTTCATCATTTGCGATTTCTTGAGTGCCCTGTTTTTAGATTCTTTGTGCATTAGGGTGAGATTGATTGAGCAGCAAGAACCATGTTTATCTTGATCATATCACTGCATGCACATCTCATTCAACCATTGCTGTGATTTGATGCATTTCCCTATCTATTTGAACCATAACTTGATCTTTAATTACCAATGCTTGCATTTGATTTCAACTCATGGCTACCACATACATATCTGGACATTCTTTACCTATTTTCATATCCCTCTTGCTTGTCCAGATAGCTGATCTCCATCTTTGAGACAGTTACCACACCTTAAACCTAAGCCTTTTCATTTCAAACCCCATTTTATCTCTTGTGCGATTGTGAGAACCTTTCTTGGCTTTGCTTAGCATAAGGTGTTGTGTTTAAACCGGCAGGGGCAGTAGTTCTAGTTGTCTAGTTCTCTTGGGATTGTTTTCAGGCTAAGTTTGGGGGTGCCAACTCGAGCTCGATCGAGTTGGGTAAAAACCAGAAAAGTGGTAAAAATTGGGAAAATCCAAAGGAAAAAGAGTTTAGTTAAGTCCAGGGAGTTGGCAGTGTTAAAAAGGGTCTAGTAAAGGTTTGGGAAGTTAAAAAAGGAAGTAAAAAGGGTTCTAAGTAGAATGAAAAGAAGGCAAAGCCTCAAGTGTCAAAAAGGAAAAAAGTTCCCTAAGTGTTTAGAAAATCCCAAACCGCTAGATGTTACCTCAAGAAGCCTCTCCCTAGGAAGTTCTTAAAAGAAAAGTGAGCAAAGCTCCTCAGTTTCAAAGGCGAAATGCCAAAAAGGGTAGTTAGGATTTTGTTCTAAAAAGCTCTAAGTGTTGAACTCGATCGAGTTAGGATTAGGCGGCTCGAGCTGCTGTTCTTGCATCATCTTTGGTTCTAACACTTAGCCTTCTGCCAAAGCAAAGCCACTTTCTTGAGAGATCCCTG